CTGTTGCAAATTTTTCCCCTTTCTCTCTTTTTTTTTTTTTTTTTTGGGGGGCTTTTTTTTTTTTTTTTTTTTTTTTTTTTGGTTTTTTTTTTTTTTTTTTTTTGGTGCTGGTTGTTGTTGTTGTTTAAAGTGGCGGAAACAAGGCAGGAGGCGGCTTGGGAAAAAAAAGTGGAGCAGAAATGGAAAAATACAAACTCACCCGCTGCAAATGGTCTCTCGATGCAAACTAAGGTGTTTTCGGGGCCTTTCCCCGCGCGCGCCTACTCCCGCCCGCGCGACCCCCCCGTTTTGGTGCTGGTTGTTGTTGTTGTTTAAAGTGGCGGAAACAAGGCAGGAGGCGGCTTGGGAAAAAAAAGTGGAGCAGAAATGGAAAAATACAAACTCACCCGCTGCAAATGGTCTCTCGATGCAAACTAAGGTGTTTTCGGGGCCTTTCCCCGCGCGCGCCTACTCCCGCCCGCGCGCGCCCCCCGCGCACACACTCACCCGCGCACACGCACACACTCGCGCACACACACGCGCGCACAAGCACTCCCGGGCGAGGGCCGGGCCGCCGCGACTACAGCGTGCAACTGCCACACAATAAATAACAATAGATTCCTCCGCTCCGGACTAGCTTCCAGGAGCCCCGCCAGCGCCAGCGGCGGCAGAGGCGCCGGCAGCCTGGGCCCTGGGCGCCCCCAACCCGTCCCCACTTCCACTCGAGCCCCTTTCCCCGCTGTGTACACTCCCAAAGGTCGCCCCCGCCCCCCCTCCCGAGCGCTATCAGCACCCCGATGTGCGGCCCCCGGGGCGTTCCCCCCCTACACTACCCCGCGCATCCCGGAACAAATAAATAAATAAGGCGCGCGAGAGAGGCCAACACGTCGCGGAGGGAGATGTTGTTATTTTTTGCTGTTGTGCGTCCCTGACGTCACATCCACCTGCTGGGTAAACAAGAGGGCTTGAAGAAAAAAATCGCAATTGCCAAGTGGGGGTTGGAGGGCAGGGGTTTGACAGAGGGGTACCTAGGCTAGAAGAGGAAGAGGAAAGGAAAGCACAGCCCGAAGACCAGAGGGAGAACAGGAACGCCACAGCAGTTCCCTAGCAAAAGAAGAATCTGGCTGGAAAGAGCTGGAAAATGAGGGAGATTGAGGGTAGAGGGGTCCCTTCAAAAGATGGGAAAAGCGGGGGCCCCATTCAGCCCCCAGAAAATCAAGAGGCAGAGAGACACCCAACTAGGGACAGAGATGGGAATGCTGCGATACGATGGCTATTTGCATGGCTTCTGAGCTAAAAATACAGAAGGGGAGAGAGAACAGGCAAGGATATGAGTTTCCTCCAGCTAAAAGTGAAAGTGCTCTTCCTTCAGTGACAGTTGAAGCGAGGGAGGCAGAGGTGGTGTTTTGGGCCTTTTGCTCCGGCTCCCTGTCCTCCTTTGGTCTCTCCCCTTTCTTTCTGCACTTGGTCCAATGAAAGAAGGCGGGTTCGGGAGGTGAAAGTTCATCTGAAGGACAAACCCCTGATTGCGAGGAAACAGAAACCCCTCCAGCCGGGGGGGGGGGGGGATTTCCCCCTGCATCTAGGAATCAAGAGTGTGGCATGAACCAACTTTTCAGCCTCTGAGGGAATGTGCCCCTGCCTCCAGGTCCACTGGGGGCAAAGTGGCTGCTTGGAAAATTGTTTTCGCCCGGGTTCCTTTTAGAAAAACACCAGGGGGCTAGCATGTCAGTCAGTTGTTCAACACAAATTACCTGCGCTCCTGCACATCAGTGACGTGCAAAAGAAAAAAAAAAAAAGGCTTTAAAATACTGTGTGCAATTCTTTTAAGAGGTGAGGGTTTTTTTTTTTCTTTCTTTCTTTTTGCTGTTTTGAAGTTTGGTTGAATTTAGAAATTTAAATAATTGAGGAGACTAGATGAAATGTCTTTGAAATACAGATAAAATAGATTAATCTTCCACTTTTATCAACATATAGAGAAGCTGATTTTATATTTCCAATTAGTGACTTAGAAAGATGCAAGACCTGTGTGACTTGTTGTTAAGAAAAATAATTTTGTTCAGACCCATCACCCCAGGCTGCTGAACTCCCAAGCCAAGCATTTCAAGCCACTGGCTGGCTGGTCTATCTACCAGGCCAATTCTTCATGAACATACCCCGAAATTCATCCTATAGGTTCCTACAAACTATTTCGGGGTGGGGGTGGGGTGGAGATGACTGTCTTTTTGACCTTGAGACTAATGCAGTTGTAAATGATATCCCTAGGAGACTATAATTTCTTTTGGATAATGTCTTTTTTATAAATATTGTTAAATATTCACTTGCAGAATTTAAATCTTAATTGCAACGATAACATAAGACTACCACTTTAAAACTATATTTATTTGGAAAGTGGAAAAACTCACTTGAAAATTGTATGTGTTTGGGAAGGAAAATAATAACAACAAAACTCTGCACTGGGGCTACAGAATAAAGTCAGAGAAAGGGAGCATGTGTGCTAAGGTCATTCTGGCATGGTGGAATTCATGTCTAATGTGTGCTAGCCAGACAAGACTATCCACCCCATTTTTATACTAGAAATTACATAAATGAAATGTATTTTAGGATAGAGGGTTCATGTTTTCTTTGTCAAGATATTAATACATGTTCTGTGTTTCAGACCATATTGTGACTACTTTAAAATATACAAATAAAGTTCCTGCCTTTGCGTCTGTCACAGTCTACTGCTGTCAATAATAACATCTAACATTTATTGAACGCTTACTCTGCTCTGGGCTCTGATGGAAAAGCTTTATGTCAAATTAGTTGATATTCTCAAAAATCCTTGGACATCACTGGAAATTCCATACTCTGAATTCACATAGAATTAAATGGAAATCTGCAAAGTAGCCATTCTTTGGGGGAAAAACATTGCTTTCAATTTCTATGGTGGTTCTGCCAAATATAACTTAATTATGGTATGTAGCTGGTTGTACAGTTGTAACTCAGGGGAATAGCAATTTATTTAAATTTAAATGTGACATATTTATGCATAGTCTATAAACCACAATTCATTCTCTTATCTTATTTATCAGACTAAGCCATGTATTTTTTCAATTATAATCATACAAAAAAAATCTTTAGGTTGCTGCTGATCTTGGTCTGAATTTTAACTGCTTTAAAGTCTACCTTAACTTATAAGTAGAGACTAAATACAGATTGGCAACAAGTTTTGCAGACAAAAGGAAATCCTGGCTGTAAATCCCGCGATAAATGGCACTCAGTTTTCTATATGATACTGTCTGATGTACAGGCTTATTAGCAAACTGCACACCCATTTGCTTTATATTACAAGGAAACTTCTCTGTGGCTTAACATACTGTCCATTTTCAACATTGTCACATCACATTCAAAGGGAGCATATTTTTAATTTCTTTATCAGTAATCAACTGGAAGTTTCTTTTTGTTAATTTAAAGCAAGGGTTTTTTTTTTTTTTTTTTTTTTAAATAAAGGGCATGGGGGTAGGACGCCACCTTTTGGTGATAAAACAAATAGAAGTTCCTTTTTAGAATATGTTCCTGACATTATTTCATTTTAATTACACCAAGGCAAAAGGTGCTTGTCCCCATTTCCTTATATATTAAATAACAGAAAAAAATGGAAGTGCACAATTAGTTAATTATAGTTAACTGAAGCCAGTGTTGTCCTAGAGGGATCAAATATGTCCAGGCCCTGCCACATGCTATTAAGTATACATCAAACATGAACTTCATTCTCTAAATACCTGCCAGCGAGCATATGCAATTTGTGAAAAGGAAGCAGAGTGGACATTTACCACTTAACAAAGATGGCTGAAAGTTCCGGTGAGTTTACAGTTCAACAGAAACTAAAATCTCACTATTTTGTGACTGCATTTCTGATTTAGCGATCATTTCTGAATAGTACTACATTCACGAGAGCACAGTTATAATGGTAACAATCCTAAACATTTTTATTAACCTAATTTTGATTTTTTTCTGTTACATTTAATAGGAAATCAGCATCTCCTGAAATCAAATACAAGCACAGTGGAAATAAAATCACTGATGTTTCTTTGTGAGAGTTTCAAAAGAAAAATTAAAACGCCAACTTCAAAAGAAAAAGTGTGACAAGTGTGTTGAGCTGTCCCAAAGACTAGAGCATCACTTAAAATCCAGCCTTGCCCCTTTGAACAGTTTGAAGGATTGTGCAATGACTAGAAAAGTATTCAGTTGTCAGTATGAGTTGATGTTAAGTAATGCCAGCACAGCAGGCATTCCTACCCTGGGAAAGAATAGGTGCATCCCATCATCCCAAACTATAGCAGGGGAAGTCAAGGCCAAGGGATGGGAGCAGTTGTCCAAGGTCAAATAACTGGGAAGTGGTTAGACCAGGGTTAGAATCTAAGTGGTCTGACTGTATATTTCTACCTGGCACCTTCCACCTCATAAAAGAATGCAGTTCTTGTATATCAGGCAGACTGCCTAGTGCCCCAGAATCACCCACCATCAACATCCCTTTACAAATGATGAAATTAAGGCCACAGTGGGTCAGATCAAGTTCTGCCCACTTCTCAGCCTTTCTCCTCTATCAGAAGTGACCTACCTACAATCTGAGTTGGAGTAAACATCAGAAACAAGAACAACAGAGGGCAGGCTAAGCATGGGTAGACCATTCTCTAAACCAAAGCTAACACTCCTTTATTCCCTTCCAAGAAGATGGAACTGGCTAGTGAAGGTCACACACTTCACTAAGTGGTGAGAGGAACCACTCTATGTCCTTACATCCCTGTCAGTCCACTCAGGCAGGCATTTTACAGTATATAATACCACTAGGCAAGATGAGACAATTCAGGTCTGGAAAGAGTCAGGGAATATGCAGGACCCAGCTTCATAAGGGTCTTCCCCAACAACTAACTGAAGAGTCTCAGCCTTAGATCAGGACAGCAGTGCTGCCTCCTCTGATGATCCAACCATACACTGGGTCCTAGTGACCGGGACTGCCGGTGGGCATTTAGAGGGATGTCAGTTCATTTGGGTGCACATATGCCTATGGATATGTGTAATACATGCATGCAGAGGCCACAGGTCAACCTCTGGTGTTCTTCCTCAAAAGCTATCCATCTTGTTTTTTTCTTTGAGACAAGGTCTCACTGGCCTTTCAGATCACTGAATAGCTAGGCTGGCCGGCCCCTGATGCCCAGGGAGCCACCTGTCTCCACCTCCCCCGCTCTGGAATTGTTAAGTATGTGCCATCACATCCAACTTTTGTGGGTATGGTATG